CGCCTTACCGGCTGAGCCACCCAGGCGCCCCGGCTTGTCGCTTTTTATGAGGCAGATGGCACTTTAGAGTTTACAAATGATACCGTGTGCTAAGTGCTTCAAATCACGCCTGGCATGCAGTCAGCCCTCACTAAGGTGACTGGTTCTGTGACGGTGCTGTCGTGTGATCTTGACAGCTCCCTGTGAAAGGCGCTGCCATTTTTCGAGCATGTGCCAGGCACTGAGCCTTGGCCTCGCATTAGTGCACTTCTCGCAGCGGCCCCTGGCAACATGGTTACTCCTCTCATTTCCGTTTTATGGAGGGGGGCATTGAGGCCCGGGGAGCTTTCCTCCCTTACCCTGACCAGGGCGAGTGAAGTGGGAGCCAAGGGACCCGGCTGTCCTGCAGCAGGCGCTCAGTGCTGCCAGTATTCTTTGCCCTGCCCTGTTTGGGGTCGCAGTGGCCAAGTGATAGACCTTAGCGGCACCAGTCAGTGAGCAACTGAAGCCAGCCGATGGGGCAGCTCATGACAAGCAGTGTGGGGAGGCCTTCGGCCATCCGGGCAGGCTTCCTGGAGGTGGCGGACCGTGGCCGGGCATCAACATTGAGGAGGAGCAGAGGCCTGGAAGAGGGCAGGCACCGGGGTCTCTACGAGGCAGTGGACTCGGGGTGCCCATCTCACCAGGCATGCCCTTGGTCAACCTTCAGGTGCAGCTGCTGATCTCCGCTCAGGATGTGGAGAACTATAAGGTGATCAAGTCAGAGCTGGACCGGCTGCGGACCATGGTGGAGAAGTCAGAGCTGTGGGTGGATAAGAAGGGCAGCAGCAAGGGCGAGGAGGTGGACACAGGTGCTGCCAAAGACAAGAAGGAGGTGAGCGGGGTGGCGGGGAGCTGGGAGGCCAGAGTTCTCAGCGAGGGCTGGGCCCAGCTGACCCCTGCACGGTTCCCTGTGTTCCCAGCGGCCCACAGACGAGGAGGGCTTTCTGCACCCACCTGGGGAGAAGAGCAGTGAGAACTACCAGATTGTCAAAGGCGTGAGTGGCCTGGGGCCCTGAGGCCCCCCCCTGGAGGCTCCGGGGCCTGGCCTCTCCTGCCTCCCCACTCTGCCAGTCACTGGCCCTCAAAATACACATCTTCTGCTTTGTCTACACATTAAAGACAACCCTGCCCAGGTCCAGATGGAATTATTTTAAAGCTGAAGGAATTTAATGAAATTCCATTTCACAGCCATATTCTATTTACTTTTATGGGTGGAATTAGGTTTTTAAAAAGTGCTTCCCTGCCTTGTTGCGGTGATCTGACTCAGTGAACGTGGCCTCCTTCCCCCTTCCTGTTCCCGATGTGAGCTGGGGCTTGGCTGGACTTGGCTGGGGACTCCGACCAGCCTGAGTGGGGGGCGGGGGGAGCCAGATGGCGGGGGAGCTGGAGGAGGAGGGCAGGGGCTCTGGGCTCACCCCCCACCCTCCCCAGATCCTGGAACGGCTGAATAAGATGTGCGGCGTGGGGGAGCAGATGAGGAAGAAGCAGCAGAGGCTGCTCAAGAACATGGATGCCCACAAGGTCATGCTGGACCTGCTGCAGATCCCCTATGACAAGGTGGCCTTTGACTTCTGACCTCTGACTCCCTGGGGCAGCTTCCCCCTGAACCCTGACCTAACCCAAACCATGCACTAATCCTGAATGCTGACCTAACCCAGCCTCACCCCTGATTCTTGACCCTGACCCTAGCTTCTGTTTCCCTCTCTGGCCTCTTCCTGATCATCTCAGCTTCATTGTAACCTTTGATTGTCACCTTCTTATCTTTTTTTTTTTTAAAGATTTTATTTATTTATTTGAGAGAGAGAGGAAGAGCTTGAGAGAGAGAGAGAGATCACGAGCAGGGGGGAAGGGGTAGAGGGAGAAGCAGGGAGCCCCATGTGGGGCTTGATCCTGGGGCCTGGGATCAAGACCTGCCCCGAAGGCTGATGCTTAATTGACTGGGCCACCCAGGCACCCCATCGCCTCCTTATCTTGATCCATGTTGACCCTTATCTGACCCCAGCCTCTCTTTGACTCATGATGTCAACTCAGACCTCATACTGACCCCTGACTTTGATTCCATACCCTAGTCTCACTCTGACCTCTTATCCTGACCTAACCCCAGGCACACCCTGGTCCTGGACTCCAAATTTAGCATCATTTCAACCTTTGACCCTCCACACCTCCCCTCGACTGACCCTGATCTTGATATGTCCCAAGCCTCACACTGGCTCTTGAACCTGACACCCAGCATTCACCTGACCCCGATCCCTCAATCTTGCTCCCCCACGCTGGCCTCACTTCAGCCTCTGCTCCTCAACCCTTCACACATTTCCTTTTTTTTTGAGAGAGAGAGAGAGCACAGCAGGGGGAGGGGGAGAGGGAGAAGCAGGCTCCCCGCTGAGCAGGGAGCCCGATGCGGGGCTCGATCTCAGGACCCTGGGATCATGACCTGAGCCGAAGGCAGACGCTTAACCGACTGAGCCACCCCGGCGCCCAACACACATTTCCTTCTCCTGACCTGGATGCCCAGCTTTCACCTTGAACCTGGCCTCCTTGTGGTCCCAGTCCCAAGCCCGGACCCCCGGCCACAGCTGCTGGAGCTCAGGCGCAAGGCCCGGCCTCACCTTCCTCCTCCTGTCCTGGTGCCCAGGGTGATGCCAAGATGATGGAGATCCTGCGCTACACGCACCAGTTCCTGCAGAAGTTCTGCGCGGGGAACCCGGGCAACCAGGCCCTGCTGCATAAGCACCTGCACCTCTTCCTCACGCCGGGGGTAAGGGCGCGAGGTGGGGGGTGGCAGCGGCGGTGGGGAGCGGGCCCCAGATCCCCCTTGGTGACAGCCGCCCGCCCGCCCCCAGCTCCTGGAGGCAGAGACCATGCAGCACATCTTCCTGAACAACTACCAGCTGTGCTCGGAAATCAGCGAGCCCGTGCTGCAGCACTTCGTGCACCTGCTGGCCACCCACGGGCGGCACGTGCAGTACCTGGACTTCCTGCACACTGTCATCAAGGCCGAGGGCAAGTACGTCAAGAAGTGCCAGGACATGATCATGACCGAGGTGAGGACGGGGCCAGGGGGCGCGTGGGGGCTCAGGCGGCGGGAGCAGAGTTAAGTCAGATGGGGGATCACGAGAGGGACCTGGCCGGTGGAGGGAGGACTAAGGCCACAGAGGCGGGTCTAGGAGAACTCCGGTAACAGGCCTGAAAGAACCCACACGCTCATTCCACTATTTATCCTTGTATTTTCACGGATTTAAAAATCATGAGGCACCTGCTGTGCGCCGAGGAGCACGTGTACCAGGGGACATCAGTGGGGTGTAAACTTGGGGCGGGGGACCACATCCTGTGTGCTTCTGCGTGGGCCCCGGCATCCGGCACCCTGCAGGTGCCCGGTAGACCTGTTGGCCGAAGGCATGAAGGAGGAAGGGCCGAGTCTAACTCTGGAACAGACGTGGTTTCTGCCCAGAAGCATCTTACAGCGCGGTATGGGGGTGGAGGGGCGGGGGGAGCACAGTAAAGGGAGATGAGGGACCTGATGAATGAGGCGCCCTGCCCCAGAAGTGCTGTACAGCGCAGATTATTGATTGCTGTTATTATTATTACTGTGAATAACATAATCACTGACATGAGAGGATGCAGCGTGTGCTCTGGGAGCTTTAAATTCCACACTGGGAGCCTAGGGGAGGGAGCGGGCGAGGGATTAGAAAGGGCTTCCTAAAGGAGGCACCTCTGAAACAAGCCTGAGTGGGATTTCTTTCCTTAGGGGAGAATGGGGGCACTTTTTCTGGGTCCAGGGTTCAGCCCTGATGGCAGGTGGCCCGAGACATCAGCCTACGGCCCCAAAGGCCAGGCAGGGTAGGGTTTTCCTGAGTGTCTCATGAGGGCTGGGGTCAGAGTCCTAATCTCTCCCTGGTACACCCGGGGCCTGCTGGACTGGGGCGTCTGATCGGGCACCCCTCCTGCCCGCAGCTGACCAACGCGGGTGACGACGTGGTCGTGTTCTACAATGACAAGGCCTCGCTGGCCCACCTGCTAGACATGATGAAGGCCGCCCGGGATGGCGTGGAGGACCACAGCCCCCTCATGTACCACATCTCCCTGGTGGACTTGCTGGCCGCCTGCGCCGAGGGCAAGAACGTCTACACGGAGATCAAGTGCACCTCTCTGCTGCCCCTGGAGGACGTGGTGTCTGTGGTGACACATGAGGACTGCATCACCGAGGTCTGGGGCCTGGGACTGCTGGCGGGGGAGAAGGGGTGGTGGAGCCAGGCCCAGGCAGCCGTCAGTCTTGCATGGCGGGCAGGAAGGGGGAGGTAAGGCAAGTGGGGGTGAGTAGGAGGGACGTGGGCTGAGGAACAGGGGGAGGTTAGGGGAGAATCAGTGGAGTGCAGAGGAGGAGAGCCTGGGCCAGTGGCCCTGCTCGCGCCCCTGACCTTGCTTCCGCCTGCGCAGGTGAAAATGGCTTATGTGAACTTCGTGAATCACTGCTATGTGGACACGGAGGTGGAGATGAAAGAGATCTACACGAGCAACCACATCTGGACACTCTTTGAGAACTTCACCCTGGACATGGCTCGGGTCTGTCCCCTGGGGGGTGGGGCATGGGCTTGTGGGCGCGCCGTGCTGGGCAGGGGTGTGGTTGGGAGCCTGGGCAGCCTTCCAGGGGCTGGGCGTGGAGGGGCCCCCAGGGCATCTCTCTCTCCTGCCCCAGGTGTGCAGTAAGCGGGAGAAGCGCCTGGCTGACCCCACGCTGGAGAAGTACGTGCTGACTGTCGTGCTGGACACCATTGGCGCGTTCTTCAGCTCTCCGTTCTCCGAGAACAGCACCTCCCTGCAGGTGAGCCTCTGCTGCGCGCACCGCTCTCGTGCTGGGAAGGGGAAGGAGAACATATATTCGCGTCTGCTTGTGGCACATAAAGACGTAGCAGAAGGACATAGACAAGTGTGTTAGTTACGTATGCTGTATAACAAATTACCCCCAAAGTTAATGGTTTAAAACAACAAAAGTTTAATCTCCTATAACTTCTGCGGCTCCGGGATTACCGTGGGGACAGTACCCTAGAACAGGAATTCCTAAATTGACTTGGTGTGACGGGTCCCAGGGTGGCAGGGGACAGCTGGCAGCACATACTCCCCGAAGACAAGACGGTCATGCCTGCCACAGTGGATAGCAGAGCCCGAGCAGAGATCTTTGCTGTCGGCTTAGTCGATCTGGTGCTCCTAGGACTGAAGTCTTACCTGCATCAGCAGAAAAGCTCTAGGCTAGGGAACAGAAGTTTGCCTTAAATCGCTGGAAGAGGCAAGGCCCCTCAGTCGATTCCCAGATTCCCAGACTTCCTAGCCCAGAGCCCCTTGAAGGCAAGAGAGGCAGGTTCCCTGGAGGGGGGAGCCTGCGACAATACCTAAATCATAATACCATAAATCACTGGATGGACACAAGAACCCAACAAAGGGGTTACTAATAGGTAGAGGGACTGAGGGTGGAGTGAGTCCTGGTCGCTCAGCAAGGGTGGGTTCATTTTGACACACATGCGTTTGGGCCCTGGGATCTCTTTGGGACTATGAGTAATTTGTATCAGCTTTTTCCACCTCTCATCAGTCCCAGGGCAGAGGTGGGAAAATGGGCTGATGGGATCAAGCTTGGGGTGAGACTTCTCAAAGTAAGCCTTTTTGTAGCATACTTTGGGTTTTGAACCATGGAAATATATCACCTTTTCACAATATTATTTTATGTAAAAAATTGTTTTTAAAGGAAGGAAGGGGTCCGCAATAGGACTATAAGCCCCAGATCTGGACCTTGGGCAGTTCTCATAGGGCTGCCACGTACAGTTGGGCAGGTTGTGCACTGCTGAGAGGAAAGGGGGTGCCTTTTTCCATTGGCACAAAGACGCGTGGTAACTATTGGAAGCCTTGTTCCTCCATCATGCCCATTCTCAGTGGGCCCTGGTCCCTGGACCCGGGGCTGCCCAGGGTGGAGGGTGGGCCAGGCTGTAGCAGTAGGTGTGTTGCCTCTTGCAGACACACCAGACCATTGTGGTGCAGCTGCTGCAGTCCAGCACACGGCTGCTCGAGTGTCCGTGGCTGCAGCAGCAGCACAAGGGCTCCGTGGAGGCCTGCATCCGGACCCTCGCCATGGTGGGTGAGTGTGCCAGGGGCACTGGCTAGCTCCAACCACCCCTCCCCTCCCTTCACTGCAGGGACGCCTGCCCTCAAAATAAACACATTATTCCTAAGCTCGCCCATCATCTCCCAGGTAGTTCTCAGCAAGTCCTTCTTGGTGTCTAACTGGCATCTTAGCAATCGAGAAAAGCTGTTTTCTCCTTTGAGCTTTGAGTCATTTCCCCAGAGGAGAATGCTGGCTGACATCCCCCAACCAAAGGTTCTTTTGCTTGCAGATGGTTTCAGGCACAAGGGAGGCCTGTAGGTGGTTAGGGAGCACTGGGGAAGGGGAGAGAGAAGGTGGGAGAGAGGAGGGGAGGGCTCAGGGTGGAGCCAAGGTAGAATCAGAGAGGCAGAAACTCTCTCTTTTTACCCCAAAAGGGGAAGAGCGCACCCCAGTCCAAGTGGGGGCCAGCGCGTACCCCAGAATCTCGGTGAGTTCACCCTGTCCCCCAGTACGGCAGCCCAGAGCCTGGCCGCTCTGGCTGGCCGGACCCCCCCACCCCCCACCTGCACTCCAGCACCCCCTTGTCTCTCCCCCCCAGCCAAAGGCCGGGCCATCTCGCTGCCCATGGACCTGGATGCGCACATCAGCTCGCTGCTCAGCAGTGGCGCCACGTGTATGGCTGCCGCCCAGCGCAGCGCTTCTAACTACAAGGCCACCGCACGGGCCTTCCCGCGCGTCCCGCCCGCTGCCAACCAGTGGGACTACAAGAACATCATCGAGAAGCTGCAGGTGGGTGCGGGGCTGCCCGGCATCTGCCACGGACGCTGCTTCGGAAGGGTGGTTCTGGGAAAGCGTCCCTTCCTGTGCTGCCCGCGCTCCCCAGGAAAGAGGCCCCTGCTAAGGGCAGGCCCTGGGCAGGGGACCGAGGGGCATCGTTCCAGGGGAATCCAGGAGAACCCAGGCCTCCGCTAGTAGGGTTGGTGCTCATGAAGCAGGGAGGGACACCTCTCAGTCCTGACAGCGCCTTCTTGTTTGTGCGACACGCTCCTGGCCACTGTCTACACACTTCTGAGGGGCTGTGGTGGCTCACTGTCCCCACATGGCAGGAGGCCGAGGCCCAGAGAGGGGAAGCGGTTTGCCCCAGGTCACACAGCTGGAGGAGGGGCTGGGAGAAAAGCTAGGGCTTGTGGCTCCCAGCCAGGGGCTCTGAGCGGACAGATGACCTGCACTGTTCAGGGTGGTTCTGTGGGCGCAGGGCCCCTCCGGCAGGCTCGGAGAAATCCGCGGGGCCATTCGGTGTTGGGGTGGGCGGAATGGCAGTCCAGCCCCACTCATCTCTTGGGCCCGGGCAGCCTGCACCTGGCCTGGTACTGACTGTGCCGTGCCCACCCCAGGACATCATCACGGCCCTGGAGGAGCGGCTGAGGCCCCTGGTACAGGCCGAGCTGTCGGTGCTGGTGGACGTCCTGCACTGGCCCGAGTTGCTCTTCCTGGAGGGCAGTGAGGCCTACCAGCGCTGCGAGAGTGGGGGCTTCCTGTCCAAGTGAGCCGGACGCCGGGCTGGGCAGGGGGGTGGCTGGGGCAAGGCTGCCGGGGACAGGGCAGGACCGGACAGCCCACAGGGCGAAGGGCCGGGGCAGGGGAAGTGGCTGGAGGGAGGCAGCCGAGGCCGCCCCCAGCGTGCCCTCCTTCCTCATGGGCCAGGCTGATCCAGCACACCAAGGACCTCATGGAGTCGGAGGAGAAGCTGTGTGTCAAGGTGCTGCGGACCCTGCAGCAGATGCTGCTCAAGAAGACCAAGTACGGGGACCGGGTGAGTGCCTGGGGGAGCTGGATGCTCTGGGAGCCCAGCTGGCAGGGCCCGGGGCTCGGGGCCAGCGTGGGCGGGCCAGTGGTCTAGGGGTGAAATGTGCCACTGCAGGGCCTCGCTCCTCCCCCCCCAGGGCAATCAGCTGCGCAAGATGCTGCTACAAAACTACCTCCAGAACCGGAAGTCCAGCTCAAGGGGGGACCTTCCAGACCCCATGGGCACTGGTCAGTACCGCCTCCCCGCCACAGTGCCTCTGCGTGGCCCACGTGCCCAGACCCTGGGCCCTCCCTTCTGTTCCCCTGCCCCCCCCAGCTCCCCTCACGTGGGTTCCCCAACTCTAGGCCTGGACCAAGACTGGTCAGCAATTGCGGCCACCCAGTGCCGGCTGGACAAGGAGGGGGCCACCAAGCTGGTATGCGACCTGATCACCAGCACCAAGAACGAGAAGATCTTCCAGGAGAGCATTGGCCTGGCCATCCGCCTGCTGGATGGTGGCAACACTGAGATCCAGGTGTGGAGCGGCAGGGGGTGCTAAGCACCTGCTCAGCACAGTGCGCCACGTTGCTGAGGCTGCAGGGCTTGGCTGCAGGGCTAGGTGCTGGTGGCCTGCACAAGTCTGGCTACGCGGGGGCGGCTCCGCCTCCCATAACTGCCCCCGTGTCCCCTGGCCTCTTCCTACCCACGCAGACCGTCCCGCTCAAGCCAGGCCTGCGCCTGACTCCCCACCACGCTGCTCACGTCACATCCATCATTCCTGCCTCTTGGTCTCTGCTCAGGCTTTCTTCCCTCCTCTTCCACATTCTCCTTGGCCTCTGGTGCCCAACCAAAGGACTGCCTCCTCTGAAAAGTCCCCTATGATTGCCTTATCCCCATTCATTCATTCATGACTCTTTTTTTTTTTTAAGATTTTTTTGAGGGTGGGGGGAAAGGGCAGAGGGAGAAAGAGAGAGTCTTAAGCAGACTCCATGGTGGGTGCAGAGCTTGATGCGAGGCTCGATCTCATAACCCTGAGATTATGACCTGAGCTGGAACCTCAGACGCTTCACCGACTGAGCCCCCCAGGCGCCCCTCATGCATTGTTTTAATAAGTCTGCACTTAGTGCCTCCCGTATGCTTAGGCACTAAGGATTCAGCCGTGAACAGAAAAGACAAAATCCATGTATCCTATGAATTGGTCCTATATCCTAGTGGGGACAACAGCCAATGACTCTAATCACTCTGTGGCCCGGAAAGCGTGTTGGACAGTGCTAATGGAGGCGAGGGTCATGGGGGTGCCGGGGCAGGGCTGGAGGTAGGCCCCTGAAGAGGGCCCAGTGCAGCGAGGGCCCAGAGGTAAGCATGTGCACAAGAGGGGGGCACTGCACGGGTACGGCCAAGAGAGGTGGCAGGCCATCAGGTGGCCTCGTGGGCGCTGGGAGGCAGGGCCGCTGCAGGGTGTCAGGCAGAGGAGGGACAAGGCTTAGACTTCCAAGGGGCAGCTCTGCTGCTGTGTGGGCAGATGCAGATGGTGTGAGGAGGCTTGTGCAGGCCCCCAGCATCGCAGCGACGGCAGCTACCGAGCCTTCCCTGCCGCCTCTGACAGCCCTGAGCGCTCCTGCCCCAGCTGCAGTCCCAGGGCACGTCTAGGGACCCGTCTGTGGCCAGTCCCAGGGCACGTCTAGGGACCCGTCTGTGGCCCAGCCTTGTCCCGGCAGCACGGGAGAGAGCGCTCCAGGGACTCACCAAGGGCTGCTTAGCACCAGGCCCAGGGCTGAGGCTGTCCCCCATGTCACCGTACCCCCAGAAATCCTTCTACAACCTGATGACAAGTGACAAGAAGTCAGAGCGCTTCTTCAAAGTGTTGCACGACCGCATGAAGCGGGCCCAGCAGGAGACCAAGTCCACAGTGGCCGTCAACATGAACGACCTGGGCAGTCAGCCGCGCGAGGACCGGGAGCCTGCAGACCCCACCACCAAAGGTCAGAGGTCACAGCAGTACAGGATGAGGGTGCCGGGCCCGGGTCAGAGGGTGCAGGGTGAGGGTCTGGTCCCTTCCAACAGCCCCAGCCTCACCAGGCCTCCCCCCTGCAGGCCGCGTAGCTTCCTTCTCGATGCCAGGCTCCCCATCCCGCTATTCGTTGGGCCCCGGCCTACGCCGGGGCCACGAGGTGGGCGAGCGCGTGCAGAGCAACGAGATGGGCACGTCCGTGCTCATCATGCAGCCCATCCTGCGCTTTCTGCAGCTGCTGTGTGAGAATCACAACCGGGATCTGCAGGTGAGTGCCTGCCCCTGCCCCGCCATCCGGCCAGCACGTGCACCCCCTGCCCTCTGCCCATGGGCCACTGCTCTGCAGCTGGTGGCACAGGGCGGGGTCCCCCAGGGCCAGCCTCTCCTCCCCTGCGAGAGCTGTGCCATGCCCACCCTCCCGTGCCCTGCAGAACTTCCTGCGCTCTCAGAACAACAAGACCAACTATAACCTGGTGTGCGAGACGCTTCAGTTTCTGGACATCATGTGCGGCAGCACCACCGGCGGCCTGGGGCTGCTGGGCCTTTACATCAATGAGGACAACGTGGGCCTGGTCATCCAGACGCTGGAGACCCTCACTGAGTACTGCCAGGGCCCCTGCCACGAGAACCAGGTGAGCTGTCACGGCGGCGCCAGCAGCCGACAGGGCGTGTGGCCGTGCCGGTGCAGGGCGCAGGCTGGGCAGGGGAGAGACGGAGGCCTCTGGAGCCGCCAGAGTGCTGAGGGGCCCCGGGGCCCGTGTCCCCCCACTGCCTCCTGCCAGACCTGCATCGTGACGCACGAGTCCAATGGCATAGACATCATCACAGCGCTGATTCTCAATGACATCAGTCCCCTGTGCAAGTACCGTATGGATCTGGTGCTGCAGCTCAAGGTGGGGCCCGTGGCAGCCCACGTGAGTGTGCATGCGATGGGTGTGCACATACCCACGCGACAGGAGTGTTGAGTGTGCATACTGGGGTGTGGTGATGGGTTTAATACACACACACAGATGAGTGTGTGAGCAAACGGACTGCATATACACTCCGGGAGCAAACGAGTTCTGGGTTTACCTGAGGGCCTCCTGTGTGTGTGTCTGCTCTCTGGGGGATTGTGTGCACCTGCCGCGGGGTGGGGGTGAAGGCAGCGGGGGTGGGGGGGTGGCTGGATTTGCAGGACGCTTCTCAGCAAGTCCTGGGGGACAGCGGGGAATGGGAAGGCCGTGGCGCATCCTCCGGGCTGAGAGAGGCTGTTGCGGAGTAGACAGAGGGAGTCGCCCTCTCCACACCTCTCCGCAGGACAATGCCTCCAAGCTGCTCTTGGCTCTGATGGAGAGCCGGCACGACAGTGAAAACGCGGAGCGAATCCTCATCAGCCTGCGGCCCCAGGAGCTGGTGAGGCTGGGCCAGGGGTCAGGTGGGAAGGCGTGAGTCGGTGGGGTGCGGGGGGCGGGGATTCCCCACGCCCCAGGAGGACGGCGTTCAGACAGGCACTGCCCCGCCAGGTGGACGTCATCAAGAAGGCCTACCTGCAGGAGGAGGAGCGTGAGAACTCGGAGGTGAGCCCACGGGAAGTGGGCCACAACATCTACATCCTGGCGCTGCAGGTACCAGCCCCGCCCCCGTGGCCCCGCCCCCGGCGGCCCTGCCCCCCCCTCCCGTGGCCCCGCCCCGTGACTCCGCACCGCCCTCTCACGCAGCTCTCCAGGCACAACAAGCAGCTGCAGCACCTGCTGAAGCCGGTGAAGCGCATTCAAGAGGAGGAGGCCGAGGGCATCTCTTCCATGGTGGGGGCCCGGGGACCAGGCTGGATGTGGGGCGGGGCTTAGATGTAGGGGCGGGGCTGGGCGAGAGACTGGATGGGCTGGTATCTGGGGGTGGGGCTAGGATTGAGGGCGCGGAAGAGAGCAAAGCGGAGATCTGAGGGCTCGTGGGAATCGGGATGAGGCCGGGGGGCGGGGCAGGAACTCTGGGCGGAGCGGGACCGGGGGCGGGGCCTGCACCTGAGTAAAGAGCTCGAACTGGGGGGCTCAGGGCGGGGCTCAGGGCGGGAAGAGCCGGACTGGTGGCCTGGGTGAAACCTAGACGTATAAGTGGGAGTGAAGCTCTGGGGCGGGTCTGGAAGCCTGGAGCCGGACCTCGGAGGGCGGTGACTGTCCTCTGGGATTGTCTGGACATGGGTTTCCCACTACCCCCTCTCAATTTGGGGCTGCATCCTAGTTGGGCTGGGCTGGGTCTGGTCTGTTTGGGGAACCCTCGAGCAGGTAGGGCTGGGTGGCAGGTCTAGCAGTGGGGAATTGCGGGGCCTGCCCTCAGCGGCCCCTCTACCCCCAGCTCAGCCTCAACAACAAGCAGCTGTCCCAGATGCTCAAGTCCTCAGCGCCTGCCCAGGAGGAGGAGGAGGACCCCCTGGCCTACTACGAGAACCACACGTCCCAGATAGAGGTGGGGCCAGAGGGCAGTAGGGGCGCCGTGAGTGAGGGCCGTGACCCTGGCCCTTGGTGGCGGTGGCCTAGTTGTGACCCCGTGCCTGTGTGCGCCCAGATCGTGCGGCAGGACCGCAGCATGGAGCAGATCGTGTTCCCGGTGCCTGGCATCTGCCAGTTCCTGACAGAGGAGACCAAGCACCGGCTCTTCACCACCACAGAGCAGGATGAGCAGGGCAGCAAAGTGAGCGACTTCTTCGACCAGTCCTCCTTCCTGCACAATGAAATGGAATGGCAGCGCAAGCTCCGCAGTGAGGACCCCAGCGGGGTGGGAGGGCAAGGCCGGGCCTGGAGCTGCTCAGTGATGCCCCTTGGGGACTCCCCCTTACCTGCTGGTAGTTGCCTCACCCCACCCCACCCCTAGGAGGGCTCCAGTGACGTTTTCTGAAGTGGGGCCTGGAGCTTGTGCCGGCGCTGGGGGCCCGTGCGGGGTGGGTGGACAATGTGAACGAGAGGCCCCACTCACACCAGCCTGCCACCACCCTCCTCCCCCAGGCATGCCACTGATCTACTGGTTCTCCCGCCGCATGACCCTGTGGGGCAGTATTTCCTTCAACCTGGCGGTTTTTATCAACATCATCATTGCCTTCTTCTATCCCTACATGGAGGGCGCGTCCACAGGTGGGGACACAAGGCTGGCAGACTGAGGCCCCGGAGCCCACCATGCCCCCTCCCTGGGTTTGGGCAGAGCCTTGGGGCCAGCCAGGCTCTTCCGGGACCAGATGCAGAATGGGGAAAAGCACCCTTGCACTGCTCTTTGGGCTCTGCACCCCATCCTGGGGAGACACAGATGTGGTCCCCGTGGGATAGACAGCATCCTTGACTTCTGGAGACAGTGCATGTCTCTCGCTCTGCCTCTCTCTCTCTCTCTCTCACACAAACATGAGCCAGAGATCAGATATGGTAGCAGCATCTGAATAGGGCCTCCTGCCTTAAGCCTGGACAGGCAGGTGTGATGGTGGGGGAGGGGCCCTAATACCAGGTGACCGAGAACTTTATAGGGAAGGTTTCCAGGAGGAGGTGGCTTCTTGGGCTGTGTCGGGGCTGGGGCTGTGGTGGGCTTCGCTGACCAGTGCTCACCCCTGCGCCCTGGCCCCCAGGCGTGCTGGGCTCCCCACTCATCTCCCTGCTCTTCTGGATCCTCATCTGCTTCTCCATCGTGGCCCTGTTCACCAAGCGCTACAGCATCCGCCCCCTCATTGTGGCACTCATCCTGCGCTCCATCTACTACCTGGGCATTGGGCCCACACTCAACATCCTGGGTGCCCTCAACGTGAGTGCCGGAGGGGGCCCCCACCCCACCCCTGCGCTCATGGCGCGGTAGGACCTCACACTGGCCAGCCGCCTCTCAGCAGCCACTGCTCTGCCCTATCCCCCTTGTCCCTGTGATGGGGTCAAGCTTGTTAAAGACCCGCGCTCAGGGCTGTTGTGTGCCTCCTCTGTCTCCCTAGACAACCTGGGGCAAGTGGCACTCAGAGCCAGCCAGCCAGGAGGCACTTTGGGGCACCAGCTTCGGGGCTGCTGTGTACATGGTAGTAGGCACTGCCCAGAGGCACTGTCCACACTGTAGACATCAAGGATTTGTATGTTATGGCAGTTCCTGACAGCTGGAAATAAAATGTATCTGGAGCAAGGGGCAGGGGGGCAGGTGCCTTTCCCTAACTTACCGAGTCACCGTAAAGGCCCAGGTTGGTCTGTCTGACTCCATCCTCCTTTACCTGTATCGCACTTTCTTCCTGGAGCTATGGACCCCAGGGGCTTTTCCCCATTCTATCCCAGGAGCCCAGATACATTTCTGGAAGCATTTTCATTAATGTCGAGCCTGCCAGGCTGAGCAGGAGCAGATCACATCCGCTCCGTGGAAGGGCTGACCTCTGAGCTGGGCACTGGGCGGCAAAGCAGCAGGGAGTGGAGATCCGGGGTGGGTGGTGGGACACTGATCCCCATGCCCTGTACTTGCCCCCAGCTGACCAACAAGATCGTCTTTGTGGTGAGCTTCGTGGGCAACCGAGGCACCTTCATCCGGGGCTATAAGGCCATGGTCATGGACATGGAGTTCCTCTACCATGTGGGCTACATCCTGACTAGTGTCCTGGGCCTCTTTGTCCATGAGCTCTTCTACAGCATTCTGGTGAGCGTGGTGGGGGCTGGGGCTGGCAGGGGTGTGGGGTGATCGGGGCTCGCCTCAAGCTGCTAGCGGTTCCCAGCACCAGTCTCTGTCCAGTCCTCTTGCTGCTGGGCTTGGAGGGATGGATTTCCAGAGTCCTCCTCTACCTGACCTCAGCCTGACCTTCAGGGCCCTGCTGGCCACTCCTGACCTCCATCTGGCCCATCTCCCCTGGAATCAGACTACCTGGGTTTGCGTCCCAGTTTGGACACTACTAGCTCTGTAATTTTGGGCAAGTTTCTTAACTGCCCCATGCCTCCATTTCTGTATCTGTAAAACAAGGATAATTAACAGCACCTACCTTCTAGAAAAATTGTGAGGTTGACATGAGCTTAATACACAAAAATCATGTAGAATGCATCCTGGCAGGTAGCAGGCACACTTTAAGAGTTGGTCATCTTTCTCCCCGCATGTGTGGATTTGCCTGCCCATTCACCCTTTACACCTTCCCCTGGGCCACACTCCCTTCCCTTGGCCTTAGAACTCCGGTTCCTCTGAGCAGCCTCCCCGACAGGCCCACTAGGCTGGTTCCATGTGCCTAACACAGACCCTTCTGGAGGAGCCTGTGGGAAACCACTGGGAGCGGGGCAGCCCTGGGATCCAGTGGTACCTGTGGTCCCTCATGGCCCTGTCCCTGCCCTGCAGCTCTTTGACCTCATCTACCGTGAGGAGACACTGTTCAACGTCATCAAGAGCGTGACTCGCAATGGCCGCTCCATCCTGCTGACCGCCCTGCTGGCCCTCATCCTCGTCTACCTCTTCTCCATTGTTGGCTTCCTCTTCCTTAAGGATGACTTCATCCTTGAGGTCGACCGGCTGCCCGGCAATCACTCTGGAGGTCTGGCATCCCCTCTCCTTGGGTGAGGGGGTTGCTGAACAGATGACCGGTGTCAGGACCAGGCCCTGGGACTGCTTATCCACCGGCTCCCTGCCTCAGTTTCTCCTCTTGGGTTCCGGGGAGGTCTAGCTCACACCGATCTGCCTCCCTTTTCCCTGGCACAGACTGAGAGGGTGGGAGAGCCTTGGTCTTCGTCTCCCTAAGGAGCCTCTTGCTTGCAGACCCTGGCATTCATGTTAAACTCGGTATTTGCTGGGGCTGCCTGTGTGCCAGGTTCAGGGATGCAGACCCCCCTTCCTGCTCTTCCTGCACAGCCCGGTGGGGGCAAGGGCACGAAGACCCTTCACTTGTAGCCTGGCAGAGTCGGGAGCTCGCAGGATGGGGGAAGGCTTCGTGGGGGATGTGATGCTGGGGACACAACCAGGGGAATGATAAGGCCTGCCATGTCCTCATCCTGGTGACCTCCTCCATGTCCTCTCTAGCCAGCCCCCTGGGGATGCCACATGGAGCTGCCACATTCGTGGGCACGTGCAGTGGGGACAAACTGAATTGTGTCTCAGGGGTCTCGGTGCCTGAGGTCCTGGAAGGTGAGGGCAGTGTGTCTCAGGGGCCTGGGGGAGGGGGCGCGGAGGCAGGGGGCTCGGCCTGGGTCTGAGCACACACTCCGCGTATAGGGAACGAAGAGCTGGAGAGCACGGAGCGGGCCTGTGACACTCTGCTGATGTGCATCGTCACTGTCATGAACCACGGGCTGCGCAACGGTGGCGGCGTGGGCGACATTCTCCGCAAGCCCTCCAAAGACGTGAGCATCGCCTGCCTCTCTCCCCAGCCCTGGCCGAGTCAGCCACTGTGAGGTCCTGCCTGGCACAGTGGCTTGCCCCGCCCCAGTCTTCAGTGTCGCAAGCCCCCACTTTGCACCCCCTTCCCCTCCTCTCCCACAAGTCAGCGCGCAGTCACGTGGTTGTTGAGTTTCCCACCACACTCCGCTCACACATCCCCACCAGCTCACCGTAAGTTGCTCTAAGGAAAGACTTTGGCAGCCAAGCTTTGTCCAGGCTAGGGAAGGTGTGAGTCAGACGTTGGGTGGATCCCCGGCTACACCGGCTTCATCTGGGAGGCAGAGCCCTCGCCCACAGTAAGGGTGCGCAGGGTGGGGAAGCTGAGGCGGCTCCACGAGGAGGCCTCGGGATTTGACTCAGGCAGCCAGGCGTTCCCAGTAGTCAGTCTGTTCTCAGTCACATGGGGGCGAGGAGCCACTTCCTGGCCAAAGTGTCCAGAATGTGTGAGGCCTAGCATCCCCAGGGCAGGGCAGAGGAGTGCAGAGCTGGCTGTGCCCCCAACCAAAAGTCAGGGGCGGAGATAAGCCGCCACCTGCAGCCTTAGTGCCCCACGCCAAACTCCTCCCACAGGGCTCAGGTCCAGCTGGTGTCCTGAGTCTGCTCTTTTCCTGACCCCCAGTCAGGGCCTGCCCTGCCCGGAGTGAGGCTGGGTCAGCTTTGTCGCCCTCAGGGCCCTAGGACCCAGACACTGTCCTTCCCCTGTGCTGAGGGCCGGGCCTCCTCAGTCACCACCCTGACCCCTGCCTGAGTCTGGCCTGCCTGGGTGAACTGGGCCCAAGCCTCCCTGCCTCACCCCTGCCTTACCCTTGCAGGAGTCTCTCTTCCCAGCCCGTGTGGTTTACGACCTCCTGTTCTTCTTCATTGTCATCATCATCGTGCTGAACCTCATCTTTGGGGTGATCATCGACACCTTTGCCGACCTGCGCAGCGAGAAGCAGAAGAAGGAAGAGATTCTCAAGACCACGTGCTTCATCTGCGGTGAGGCCCTCGTTCCTGCCCCTCAGGGGCCGAGGCGGGGCTGGGGCAGCCGCCCTTTGGCCCTTCCCCGGTCCCCGTGGCCCCTGGGGCTGACGGCTCCATGGCTGTTTGCTCATCCTACACTTGGGGAGAACAGGACCCTGCCTGAGCTTGGGGTAATAGAAGGGAGTGGGGAAGAGCCTCAGAAACCATTCCTCCAAACCCTCTCGGTTTACAGGGGAGTCCAAACTCTCGGGTCTCCGTCCAGAGCTCTCCCCACTCCCGGTATGAGGTGCTAGTCCCCTCGCCACAGGCTAAGCAGCAGGCAGCACCTGCGGACAAAACCCTTCTCAGCGATTCCTGCTTCCCCCCGGGCTCGGAAGGCCGGCCGCGGTCCCCGGCCGCCAGTCCCCAGCCGCCATGGTGGAGGGCTGCAGCTCTGGCAGCCGGGGGCTCCACGGCCAAGGGGTGGGCGCCTTAAATAGAAGTGACCTAAATGGGCCGGGGTGGGCTGTCACACGTGCTCACCAGGCCCGTCAGCCTGAGACCAGAGGCCCCCACTGCACTGAGAGGCCGTGTCTGCTCAGCCAGGTGGCCCCACGGTGGCTCTGGGAGGCTGACGGTCTCGTCCTCACCCCCCACACCCTCAGGTCTGGAGAGAGACAAGTTTGATAACAAGACAGTGTCCTTTGAGGAGCACATCAAGTTCGAACACAACATGTGGAACTACCTGTACTTCATTGTGCTGGTCCGTGTGAAAAACAAGACGGACTACACGGGGCCCGAGAGCTACGTGGCCCAGATGATCAAGGTGTGGCCCCGGGGAGGAGCGGCTGCGGCCGCCGGGGAGGGACAGCTGGGGACAGCTGGGGACACCTGTGGACACCCGTGGAAAGGCCGGCCTCACTGGAGCCCCGCCAGCTGCCCGAGCTGCGGAGGGACCTCTGAGCTCTCCTGCGCGGGCTCTGTTGTCAGGAAAAGCCAAGGACGTGTGTGGTGTCCCCGGGGCCTGTGGGTGCCCGACACTGAGTAATCGGGAGAGCAGGGCAGACGCTGCCCCTGGTGGCTGCTCAGTGGACCATTCGGAGGGAGCCTTGTCCAGCTCGGCAAGAGGAAGGGCAGCTTCCCAAAGCTTTGGATGGTCTAGGCTGAGAGGGGGCCTGGAAAAGCTTGCAACTATCAGACTTAGGAGGAATCAGAGTTAATCTGTCCAATTTCTGTTGTGTGAAGGGAGTGAAAGCAGTGAATAGTAATAAAAAAAAAAGGTCTTGTAGTGTTTCGGGAAAAGGAAGCCCATCCGTTCCATCAAATGTAGTGCATCTTCAAATTACTGCATAACGGATAAATTGCAGGCTAAAAGGAAAGAGCTATTTAGTGGGGGAGGGGGAAGGGGGAGTTCTATTGGTTTCTTAAGTCTATAATTTGAACTGATCTTTGAGTACATGTTTATCTGTTGGTCTGAGAACTCACAGCTTGACAAGGAGTTAGAAACCTGGTGGCCCCCTCCCGCC